AGCGAAACCTGCGATGTGTCGCGGACTCTGGCACCAGTCTGACGTCTTCAAAGTTCGTAGAATACTTCCATTTATTGAAGCAAAGTACACTGACCTAAATGATGGGGTAATCTGCTGAATGATGCCAGCGAGCAAACAGGAAATAACGATAAATGTCATGAGGTATAATCAGCACAGGTCTCGCCTAGACACAGGATCACAATATTAGATACGAGTTTATTTTCGACCAGTCCAAGTGGAATCGTTCATAAAACTTCACATTTCTTATTGAGCAGACCGTGTTGTTATGCTCAATGATTGTAACCAAAACGGAGCAACACCTTCAGATTTGAAACGGCAGTGTTTCGGGTCTGATCCAGTAAGGTGGAGGGCATGCGGTGCGACAAATGCTTCCGGCATACTTGTTCTCGCTGAGGAAATTCCAGCGGTGTGAGAGCCATTTCACTTCTGCTTCCACTCTCACTCTGGAGCTTCCTTCTTTCTGAAAAATTGCATATGCAGGAGATATGTGGCGGTATTCAATCCTTCCCCAGGGGTTGGGGGACGGAAATCCCTTTAAATTTATTTGTTTTTAACGATGTAGTTTCTTCATTTTCAATGCATGCTTACTTTGACATACATACATACATTAAATGTAGGCCCTTTATCAGGACAATCCCAGTTGGGAAGACAGAGAAAATTTAAAGGGATTTTCGTCCCCCAACCCCTGGGGGAAGGATTGAATACCGCCCATGAGCTGTCTCACCATATGATCCACCCACCCTTACTACTCTTAGGCCGCGTTCATAGTGCGCGAATTGGGAGATTAGAATAGTACGCGACAATGAAAAAGATATGTATTGACGAGGTTAGGATAGTAGTAGAGTAGGATAGTAGTAGATTAGGATAGTGCGCTGACAAGATTAGATATGTATTGATCTATTCGCTTGAAGTCGCCCAATCTACTACTCTCCAGCGATTTCAATCGATACGTATCCAATCTTGTCAGCGCAATCTCCTACTCTACTACTATCCTAATATCCTGTCGCCTACTATCCTAATCTCCCAGTCGCGAACTATGAACGCGGCCTTACTGAGTGTGACACTTCCACTCATTATTACGATTTCTCATTTCATTCTTCAACTGAGTGGGCGGGCTGATCTTGTTTTTGAGCGCAGTGCTTCTTTTGCATTTATTCTTTAATTGAAACTTGAATTATGCCTCCAATCGACTTTTTAGCACATTTTCACGGGTCTCTGTCTTAGGTCTCGGTCTTTTTTAATATATGCAGGTCCTGTGACAGCAAATTAATCCATTCTCCCTTGCCTTAAGTAGTTACGGCCTTAAGTAGTTACGATTACTTTCTATCACCAGTGATGCGCCAACCCTGCTCCTTGTGGTCCGCTCATGAATCATCATAGGTTACCAGGTTTTTTTGTGGGAATGGGATATTTGCGGACATGTATATAAATTGACGCCTTGCAACGAATGCAAAGAAAGTCGCTGTTCGGATTAAAATCGCGTTAAATACGCATACGCTCACAGATTGGCGCCCACATCGGTAAAGAGGTGACGCTGCAGGAGAAGAATTAGTGAAGGTTTGCAGATCGGGTGGAATATCCTAACAATGGAGGGCCTAACTTTGCACTATACAAGACGTAGATAAGAAGTGATTATGAATCTTCGCATCGGGGCTAGCCAAAATATTGTTCGGTGGGCAAAATATTGTCCTTTGCTTTTTAGGCGCCCGCTGCGATGCCTTTCGCACATACACGCGTTTCGGGTATTTCGTGTACACAAAACACTAGACGCGGAGAGGGTGTATTGGTAAGTTGCGCCACTTCTATGGTGCAGCTCTGAAATCAAGTCGTGGATCGAGTCTCGCGCAAGCCGCTCAAGCCTTTCATTCCTCTGGGTTCGGTCGATTAGTACCAGACTCGAAAAGAATAAGATATCAGATTAGATCATGAGTAGAATATATTGGTGCCTCACTGATAGTGCAAGGGAGAGGATGCATTGGACAGAGCCACATGGCGACATTCAAGAGGAACTGCGTGCTCCGCGACTGCGCGTAATAAACACTAGCGAAAAAAGAAGCAGTAGTTTTTTGCACTGGATCTCAACGTTAGGCTTATATTTAGGCAGAATAACGATGAGGTCATTATGAAGGCTCGATTTCGAGAAAAACGCCTAGGCGTTCTTTTGGCACAAGGGTTCTAGCTCTACAAGGAAGGTCTTTCAGGGTGTGCCAAGCTTTTTCAAAACGGTCTTTTGCATGATATAGGGGCACATGCGGGAACCACAGAACCATGGTTAATTTTTCCTGAACGGCCCTCTGAATACCAGAAAAGGGGGTCCCTAGTCACACCTTTTTCACCAGTTTTTCAATCAAAGTCTATTTGTAAGGGTTACTGACGGTCCTAATCATGAATATGGTACTAATTATTCATGCTAACTCCATTTTGCGCGAATTTTGAAACGTCAACTCGAAATGCAAAAATTTGTCACCACGAGGAATCGAACTAGGGACCCCTTTTCTGGTATTCAGAGGGCCGTTCAGGAAAAATGAACCATGGTTCTGTGGTCCCCATATGTGCCCCAATGTCATGCAAGAAACCATTTTGAAAAAGCTTGGCACACCCTGAACGACCTCCCTTGTGAGTTATAGGTGAATTTAATAGCGAATTGCCAAAATACACACCTCAGGCTGGGTTGGTTCTTGCGTGCTTTCCGCTCATTAATGGCCAGCAGAATACTAGTGTAGCCTTTTAGTGCAGTTCGGTCAGAATTACTTGATCGTTGTTTTCTTTTCCGGAGATGCATTTTTATCGTGAACTTGATCACACTTCATTTACGAGCACCATTTTGGCATTCACTGAAAAACATTTGTCGTTATAATTTGTCTTTTCAGGCGTTTCCTGATTTGGAATGGATACAGATATCAGTAATGGGTGGGTTTTGTATTTTTTTCTCATTTTTTTTTGTAAATTTCATTGAATTTTGTGGTAGTAACTTTGCGCAACGGGTGGTACCTGCATCTTCATAGAAAAGCACTTGCGCTCATGTCTTAATCATTTTTTGTTTTGTATGGCTTGTCACTTCGGCTTGGATTTATGCGATGATGGGAGGGCAGAGGTCTAGAGACCTGTTGACATGGTATATGCATGTAGTCTTAGAAAGATGCTGAGGATCCAAAAAAGAGCTTAAGTGCCAGGGTATCGTTAACATATTGGCGACAGTGAAATGCGGTTGCGCGTCTCATCTTTGGCATGCCTTTTTCTATTGCGTCCGCCGCTTTTTCCCAATTGTATTAATTCAATGGATCACACCATAGCGCAACTCGAAACGATATGGTCTACCGTTTGGTCGAATGTGCTAGTTTAGCAGCGGTTTTCTGCGGCGTTACGAGAGTGGCAGCTCGGTTTTTATTTTTTTCTTTATCGTTTTATTTTTATTCTCATGACCATGTGAATAAACAAGAGTAGCATAAGTAAACAAAAGCCTACACGGATAGCAAACTATGTGTTCGTTTTGGCACAAGCACGTCCATTCCGTCAAAAATTTTCCAACGTCTATAATAACGGAAAAAGGATGAAATTTGCTCTTTCTTTTTACAGGGTGGGCCAAAATTATGAGGACCGCGTGCGCGCGCGGTCATATCCACTTTTTTCCGAGTCGCTCCATTTTCATCTCTTTTCTGTGCACTATGTGAGAGGGTACAATGTCTTCTTCCTAATGAAACCAAATTTCATGCAGTTCTCAAAACTAGTGAAATAAACATCACCTTACGTCAGTCCTCAAATTGAACTCACTAGGGGCTCTGGCACGTTACATCTAGCGGCAGTCTAACGTATCAGGGAAGCTCTTATGAGCAACAGTTCAACTCTTCAATAAGTTTGGAATCACCACAGATGGAAAATTCGAAGGTTACAGTTAGCACCAGGATAATTATCAGATGCAGAAATAGGTCTCCCCTTGTCGACTTTTATACCCAAAATGAAAAAATTGATGTGAAAACCCAGCCAGACACTCTAAAGACTCCACATCTGTAGTGGATAGAAAGCCACACGAGTAGTCTACTTGGGACTTTTACAGGACCGAGCACCCAAGAATAAAGCAAAAATTCTCTAAAAAGCGATTTTTCGAGTTCGTTGCTTTCGAAGAATTGTTACAATGGAACCTTCCACCTAATAGCTAGATTTCTGTATTTTATACCCTACCCTAGAGACAAGGGCAAATAAATGCCACAAAACTTTGATTCCCTGAAGAAAGCAGAGCAGAAGGCCTGGAAACATTTTGACACGCCTCAGTTGCGTGCCACCGCACGCGCCATCCCCTTCATCTGAAGGCTCGGGGCAGGTGGCAGATCTCAATTCTATTCTGGAATTACTTTGAGATAAGAGTTACAAATACTTCCCTGAAGACCATTAGTGCCATCAAGCTACTATGCGTTTTTAAAGACACAATGTCTTGGTCCTCATAAATTTGGACCACCCTGTACTATATGTCCTTTTGATCGGAATTATCTGCAATGCCTCCGAATTAGTTTTACGCACTGAAGATTACTAAAATAGTTTTGTGCCATTAAGGTTTCGCAAAATCATTCAAAGTTTACGAAAACTGCTCATGTCCCACGTGGCCATACGCCACACGCGCCTTGTTGTTTATGTGTTAATTACGGCTTGATGCACTTAATAATTTGAGGGTCTTAATCATGTGAAGACATCATACTCTATGACATGTGAGCAAGCAGTCCATCCCCCAACTTTACACATGGCTGCGCGCACTATCAGTAATGGCGTTTTTCATGTGCCGTTCAACATGATTATGTATCGATCTCGAGCATGCATTGCCTTCTTCCGTATCTTTTTCTAACTAAGCACACTCGCGTTGTGTCTGTAGGACATTGGTTGTAACACGCTGGAGATCCTAGATTAGATGACTCCCGCTTGCTATCCGCGATTGCACGCAATTGTGTCCTCACTGTAGCAATGTTGCATAAAAGTGGCTAATAGATCCAATGCTCGATTTTACTGTGGTGACTGCAAATTTAGGTCATCGGATTCAGCAGCAAGTGGTACTGCTCTTCTTTCGCGTAAGGGACTTTTCGGGAAATCTGGAGTTTTGGTAACAATTCACGTGCTTGTATTTTATCTCAACCTGGTGTTTGACTATTACTTTCAGAATCAAAACTTGGATTCCTCCATTGCTATTCATCAAGATGCACAGAAGGGAGAGCACGCGACGTCTGATCGAAATAATGAAGAACGTAGGTGTTAACGCTAAGTCTTTACTTACTGCTTTTCTGTTACGGACCCTTTTCGATATTTTTACATTTTTTTTCACATTTTGGAGCAGTTGATTTCGAGCTAGTGTGTGTTAATATGGTATCTGATTTTCTGGTTTTCTTACGACGGCGCAGATTTTACCACGGAAATCGATATGGATCTCAAATCAGAATTAAAATTATCCTTCGCGAAAAAACCTCGCTAACACCGCGTTTTCCCAATGCAGAGCTTGACCAGCCACACTGCAAGCAACCGTCGACGATATCTCGTCGTGCGCGTCAGCCGGTGTTTGTCGACGCTGTAAACAATCAGAGTTAGGCTGGTGTTCAGAGTCAGCGATCCCGTCGCAGTTTCGCTGATGTCACGCCGATTTTGCGTTGCGGATTCACGCGACGGTCACGGATCCCGACCCAATACTACAGGTGACTCCGAACGATGGCCGCCACTTCGCTTGATAGTGATGGCTGAATGACGACTGCTCATGATTCCACTTATTTCATATTCAGTGTTTCAAATGTTCAAATGGGGCTTGCGATTTTGCGCTCCGTCGCAGCTTTCGCGCAAATCGCGAAAATCATCGAAACCTGCGACGGATCATGGACTCTGACACAATCCTTATGCTTTTTGCTTTGTTTCCAAGCCATCACACAAAATATGAACGCACTTAGTTGAGGATTAGGATGGCGGTCACGCGAATTCACTGTTCAGTCACTTCAGACCAGTTTTCTGTCTTTGCAAGTCAAAATTATTTAGAAAATACGTCTACGTTAATGTTTGACACTCACGAGCATCTCACCGACGGAAATACCAGTAAAGAAGAGGATCCCTTGCCTGAAGATGAGCACTCTACAGTGGATGAGACACCAGATCATCTAGGGGTAGGTTTTTTACATAATACTTCTAGAAGCCTTTTCCTGCTATCGATATCCTAGGATGTATTGACTTTTAATCATTTGCCATTAACCTTACGAAGCTCTCATTACCTACATTGATGTTTTGCAGAGATCGGAAGCTGACGCCCCTCCTGAGTCACTTTCGGAGGCGGCCCATGTGACTGAGTCGAAAGACGAGAAGTCTCATACTCCAGCCCATAAGGAAGGTTAGATAATTGCGCAGCGATTATAGGAGCCGTTCTGTTTTCAACTATTAAACCTCTAATGTTTAGACGAAAGTAAGTGTGATAGGGAACAAGAAGAAAAGGAAGGAAGTGATAGGGCTAACGAAGAAAACTCTGATGGTGACCCTAATGCTAGCAAAGACAACGATAGCGAAGAAGGAGCCAACGAAGAAATCTCCGATGATGACCGAAATCCTGACAAGGACAACTTTGATGAACAAGAAGCTAATGAAGAAAGCTCCAGTGGAGATCACAATCAAAGCAATGATGAAAAAGAAGGGATTGCGGAAGAAAGTCCTCCAACCCCAGAGTCACATCATGAGGAGGTGGACGAGCGCGTTGGTACAACGAGAGGTATGGTATCAAAAGATCATTCCAGTGACACAGGATGCCTGTTGAGGTGTGTTTTTTGTTTGGTAGGGGCGATTTTATATTCGGTCTTCCCATTGTAACAATCGCAAAGCATTTGATGCGTATCGGTCGTCAGATGGGTCGGAGCATTGGACGGATCGATACGTATCTAATGTAGCTTCCGTAGATTAGCTGCTAAATTTCTTTGGAATTTGTAGGATCAGGATAAGAATGTCGTAGCCACTGAAGCTGATGAAGACGGAAGGATTACTGACGACGTAATGGAAGTTGTCGAGGAACCATCGAGTGAGGCAGCTGTGGAAAATGCTGCACAAGAGGAAGATTCGACTGTTGAAAATCCCGATGTTGAAATGAGCGAGCAGTTAGAGGACAATGTTAATGAGTATGTTTTTCTTTTTCTTGTCCTGCTCTTTTTGTAACGCTGAGATTGCGGGAGAGACACCGGGTTCCAGATTATTGTATTGCTCAAATGTCCCTAGCATTGTAAAATTGTTATTGGCAAATGTTAAGCACCCCTCTAGCCAACTGCAAGACCAGGAATTGAAATATAGCGCCTTGTTCACCCTGTCACATTGTTAGCGCAACGCAGGGATAACGTAAGTAGGCTGTTTTTTGTGAAAACCATTAGAAGATGCAAATAAGTTCCACGAGATCGTCTTGAGTGAAAGTAGTGGTCACCGGCGGGCCATACGGTCATTCAAAGGGTTAATAAAACGTCTTCATACACACTCCTGCGCGCATCGATCCGTAAAGAATTAGATGAAGTATAGCAATAATCAATGAGGGTCTACAAAGTGCAAAGACATTTTGTTAGAATTGCTACGTTTATATGCGCACAACAATTTTTCTCTCTGCAAAGGAAGTGGATAAAAATTGCCAATTCAGCTTCATGTTTCATTGGCTTCTGCGCCACTTGATCTCGGTCCTTTAAACCGCCTCAATGTGATGTCCCCGCCTGCGCTTTCTTGCCTGAACAGTGGCTCATGACTGCTATGCTCTCACACATTCAAACTTTTGCCACACTGTAATTGGCATACCCATTCCAGAGTCCCTCCTCCTTCTAGGCCTAGTTTTAGAACTCCCGCTTTCCTCCTTGGGTTTGGAGCCATCCTTAGAGCGGAGAGCACAGACTTGAGAACAGCTCCTGGCTCGGCTCTAAATCGTTAGGAGGAAGGTGGAAGTCCTAAGACTAAGTCTTGGAGGGGAGAGGAAGTCCAAGGTTGGTACAATCATAGTTTGGCAAAAGTTTGAATGTATGAGATCACAGTAGTCATGAGTCCTGTTTAAGCAAGAAAACAGACGAAAGCACCGTATTGAAGCGGTTGAAAGGATCGGGCTCAAAATCGTTCCCTAATCGTCTGCGCTCTAGCCATTCGTGGCAAGACCATTGAAGAAAATTCACGTAACTCGTTTATTCCTCTGTGAGGTTCTTCGATTCATGGTGCAAAATAGCTCACGATGATCCAAAGAAGAGAGTGTAACACACACATATGCTTTCTTATTGTTCGTGTCCCAGAAATTTCGTGTTTGTTTTTCTCTAGGTATTCTACACAATTGTCAGCCAAGTTTCATTTTTCAAGAGACTTGATGAACATCGGAACGCTATGTAATCCTGTGTCACACACAGGCAATAGGTGGTCCAAGCTAAGAATAGAAGCAAGGTGGATGGAATATAGATGAGAAGAGTGTTCGCACTGTTAAATGAACTTTCTATTTTTTCGGTCTCATGCCCTTACTATGTAAGTGCTGGCTTTCCGTTTGGAATGAGGCGGGTACGCTTCAGTGTTTATTGCGCCAACGCGGTGGCGGCTATTCGAAAGGTATAAGTAGTAGCTGAGTAAATTCCTTTTCATATTCACTCACGACGCTCGCTTTCTCTAGGAATATACCATTTTTTGCTGCCGGGACGCTTGTGGTATATATTAGGTGCATAAGTGGAGGTTGCCCAATTCGTACAAATCATATCGCGTTTGCGGAAGCTACGCGCCGAAGATTGTCTCAAGAGAGATAACACTTCCAATCACCTGAGGAGCTCTTGGCTCTTCTGGAATAAACTTTTGGTATCTCGCGCAGTAACAATATTTTGACCCAGTGTCTAATAGGTGTCAGAACCATACACTTCAGCTGTTGAAACTGGAAGCGAATTAAATCAACTGCTCATCGTGTTTCAGAAGCGTCCAACCGGCTTCCGAAAGCGAAGGAGCGATAATCGAAGAAAGGAGAGAGAGCGAGAAAATTAATGATGAATCATCCTCCGAGTAAGTCTGTGTGTAGAATGGCTTCTTTTTATTTTTATTCTCTGTTTATAATATTTTCTTTATTCAGGAAGGCTACTCCCAACGAAGATACTTCTAAAGAGGCTTCGAAGCAAGCAGAAGAAGATGAGGAAAAGGAGACCGCAACACCCAAGCGGTGAGCTTGCATAATAGGAAACTCTTGCTAATACGGCTAATACGGTTGACATTTTCCACGTTTTTCCTGCATTGCCCTTAGTTAGAGTTACAGGCTATTTGGCAAAACATTTTCTAATTCGATGAATCACTCAATTAGTCCTTTAAAAAAAAGAAAGTTATTGTTTAGGCGAAGCAGCTCACGGCGAAGTGCTGCTGTTGTTGCAACAGAACCAAGGGTATCAACCAGGGCTAAGGCTACTCCTGCAACCGTGCGTCCATATGTCTTGTTCTTTTTCATCTTTCACGTTAATTATCGCAATATCGCGAATGCTATCACCGATTGCTGAAAACTTACATGAACGACACGCTGATATTAATAATGGGCGCAAATTTTGTGGGGCTCACACTGGGCCGAAACTCACATAGAAGAATAGCAATTAAGGACGAAACTAGGTTTTTCTTTTCTTGGGAAGGATGCACGTTACTCGAGGATAAATTTGCGAAAAAATTAAATGCAATGGAAATCTGCATCGTTAAGGCTCATTTTTTGTTATAGGTTGCGCTTTTCTTGTCGTTGGCAAATTGCCATGTTGGCAAATTTTAAGTGTAAATGGCAATTTTTCACACGCACATTGTTCAGGATACCAAGAACGTCGTCAAGAAAGCGTCATGAGGAAGAGGAAAAAGCGGACGACGAAGAGGTGCTATTTTTTATGAAATGGTTTCGAATTAATAAATTGAAATGCTAGAGCTTCAGAAGCCTGTTTCCTCCTCCAAAATCAAAAAAGTCCAATGTGGATGCCAAGAAAAAAGTGGAAAACGTAGAGGAGTCGAAAACTCCTCGGCAACGAGGCCGTCGTGTAAATTTAGACGAATCAAAGGTACGTTTAGTTTTCACTTTGAACTGGCATTGCTTTCAATTAGGGCCAGCAATGTGATTTGTTTTTGACGTCGCATGTCACTGAACTTTGAGTTTTCTTCAGGGAACTCCTGCTGCAACTCCATCCAAAGGAAGGCGTAGTGCGAGGAAGGACGCCGCTGAAGCTGAGGATGAAAATGTTGATGAAAAGGAGCACAAAGAATCAAAGCAAGACGATGGTGATGACTCGAGCCCAAAGAGGAGTTCACCTCGTAGAAGGTCATCGACGGCGCAAGTAAAGTGAGTTGTTGATATTGTAGTAGCAGGTTGTTCCAGCTAGCTTCCTGTCGATTTGGTTAGGTTTACTTGTCAGAAAAGTTGTGTCAGGTGTGTCTTGTGAAAGTGGTTTTTTCTGAGTCTTCGGTTTTCATATTCTGTTGAGGGGTGGAGAGCAGAGTCAACCCTGCGTTGCGCAGTTCGCAACGGCACGTTGAGAGATCCTCAACGCACGCTGTATGGGCGGAGACGCAGACGGCTCGAGCATGCGAGTGTGAATGTTCGCGCGAGAGAACGTGTCTAATCGGGCGAAACTGCGCAACGTGGCCGTTGAGAACTGCGCAACGCAGGGTTGACTCTGGTGGGGAGGGGATATCAGCAAAAGGGCCGCAAGTTTAGAAAATCTTGTAGTTCAAGCTCAGTTTTCGTTATCCTTTTTATTAGAGTAGGGTTTCAAGCATTATGCTGTGTTTTATAAGACTTGATTAAATATGTTATTCCAAAGTCTTTCGCAGAGTGGAAGTAACTCCGAAAGCCAGTGCAACACGTCGAGGTCGATCGAAGAATGAAAGTACTAGTTCAGCTACCGATAAAGAGGGGAAGAAAGAAAGCAACGCGGATGTAGAAACACCTCGAAAACTTCGAAAATGTAATGTTTTATACTTCTGTCGCCTTCCGTAGGAGGGGATAGTGACTCAAAGTATCCCCGTTTATTGTTTTTCTTTCAGCAGCTACTACTGCTACTCCTCAGACTCCCAAAAAATCTGCTAAAACTCCAAAATCAGCAAAAAAAGAGGACAGCGAAAGTCATGATCCATACGACATTGACACTGAAATGGAAAAGCATCCTGAGCCCTTGAAGAATATTCAGGTGGGGAATTCAAGCGATCTTCTCAATTAATCCTAATCTGTGAATGGATTGAATTCTATTCAGATGGAAGTTCAGTCGTTTGGTGAGGTGAAGTATGCGAAGGTTGGTTCTGGAAAGTATGAGCGTACAGAAAAAACTGCCGAGTTGCGAGTTGGCAATCTTGCTGAACTGACACCACGCACGAAACAAAGGAGGTCCCTTGCTGATCTCACTCCTGGACGAAAGAAGGCCGCCTCAGCAGCTGGAAGTAGTACTGCGCCGCAACCCTCACGGTAAACGATAACTTTTACGCTTATTAGAGCTGCCTACAACGTCATTTATTCAGAGGTTCTCGAAAATCGGCTAAAAAGGATGCTGAAGTTGACGACGAGGATAATCAAGATGAGCAAATGGAGGTGGATGATAGTGCAAATGAGAAGAGCACACCGAAACGAAAGGCGAACACCACAACCCCAAAACCTGCCAGTTCATCTCGCAAAAGGCGGTATGTACTCGCTGTAAAGTGTTTTTTTTTTAGTCAAAAGAGGGAGTCTCCATAAACTAAAATTATTTGCAGAGCGCCGTCCGAGACACCCGTAGTACCATCGAAACGCCAACAAATAGAAGTCCCACATCTTGAGCCAGCGGAATTATTGGCGGTGGACTATCCTCAAGATGAACACGCTCAATACGAAGCAGGCGCTCGTGTATATGCTATGTTTGACGGCTTGTTTTATCCTGCGATTGTTGTCAGGTATTCTTCATCATGTTATACGTTGAAACGGTTCTATATCACTGTTTTCTGTCTATCACAGTGTTTTAGCCGTGACGGTTTGGGAAGATACAAGGTGCATTTCATTGAAGACGACCTCGTTAAAGACGTACCACCTGCTGGTGTTATTCCGCTGCGAGCCCTTGATCGGGATAAAGAGGTATTTCTCAAGATTGAGACTGAAATTCATTAATTAATCTGACACTTGTTTCTTTATCTACTGCTGCAACCATGGTGCGCCTACAAATATATCTACAATTTAGTGTTTTTACTCGGAATCGGTCGAAAAAGACCGTTTAGCAGTGAAGGTTGTGAAGAGTCCGGATCATACGTCGGCATCTGCTTGGTTTGAAGCAGAATTCGTGCTGGAACAGCTTGACGATGATGGAGAACCGACTGGAAAAAAGCTAAAGTGAGTATTAGAAGATGATTTACATACGGTGAACATTGGTATTTCGTTTGAATTTGCGTTAGGAGACTAAAAATGTTGTCTAATGCCTAATGTTGCCATAGAATGCTTCCTGCCAGTGTGGTAGATTGCTGCTATAACCAAGTATTGTAGGGGGACCTGGACAAAACTTGCGTTATCGAAGGATGATTGGAGGGAATACATCAACAGGAAATCCCGCGAAGCAACAGATGTGATTGCTGGTATGGTTTTTCGTATTTATTTGATACCTCATTGGTCGTTGTAGGCAATGATTTTCATGAATTTTCTCTAAGATAACATCGAAAGTACCGAGGACAGGCAACTGCGAAGGTCCAAGGCAGCCACGCCTCACCAAAAGGCTACTCCACGGCCTCCTCCAAAATCATCGGCCAAGAAGTCTGACTCTCCTTCATCACAACCGAAGACTCCTGCGAGAGGTAGTTTTTAGAAGTTTTAGTGCAAATGTGGTTGTTAATGATATTTGTTAGCAAGATATATCCTGTATTTTGTGTAGGAGGACGACAAAAGAAGGCAAGTGCCGCAAAACCCGCTAAGGCAGAAGCGGAAGAGGGTGCGTTCACTACGAATTTTTTAATGAAGGAAATTTGATTATGTTTAAAAAGCAGTAGACTAAAACCGGTCTCAGAATTGTACCACATTGTTCTTTTGTTTTGAAAAATGGAACAGCACTAAACGTTTATTTAATTTGTATTAATACGTTCTTGCAGTTCTCGTGTTTATGTGAGCTAGTTTTTTTTAGAAGAACCTGAAGACGTTGCAGAAACTCATACTGAGCAGATATTTGCTGGGATGTTGTTCATTTTAACGTCAGCCAATCGACCAAACAATGACACAGGGTTTAAGAAGAAGTTCATGACTGATTTTATCTCTTCTCATGGTGGCCTAGTGGTAGATGATATGAAGGCGAGTTTCGACTTCAGCACATTCCGGCGTGTATTTTGACGACTGCTGGTTGTCATGATATTGGATTTTTTCGATTCTCGGTGTTCCAGGAAGTTGACGAACATCCAGAGATGGAAAGATTCCTAATTTCGGATACTCATTATCGCACCCATAAGTACTTGGCTGCTCTGGTTCGAGCTATGCCATGTGTGTCTCATGAATGGATTTCTAAATGTCTGGATGAGGTAGTTTCGCAGTTTGTCTGTGGCAGTAAAATCAAGTGCCATTTATCACTTTTTTTTCAGAAGAAACTCGTGGATTATAAACCGTTTTTATTGCCTTCTGGCGTTTCGATCCTCGACGAGCAAGAATATCCTTTGTAAGTACAGAAGCTAGTTGTAAGTGTTCTTCATCAGAGAAAAACTTCTATTATTTCTTCTTCAGACCTACAAAACGTGGGCTGCTGCTTCGCAATAAGCGAGTAATGGTCCATTCAAACGTTACGCCACCAAGTAAGAAGTCGATGTCCTTCGAGCAGATTTGGGTCCCAATGGTGCCACAACTTGGTGGAGAAATCGTTACTGACATGCCTAACGAAGGTCAGTTCTTAAGTGTACTGAAAAAAGTGTCATGTGAGGTCGATAGGAGCAGTTGACACGCTAGGTGTAACTCAAATCAACCTTTATACAAGAATGCATTGAGAATCGCTCAATTTACATGGTATGAGACAGGGTGGCGAACATTTTATGTTGTCTTTTTCAGAAGGAAAACTCGACATTCTCCTCACCGATCACTCAGCTACGCCTAGCCTCGTTGAAAAAGCACGAAAAATTGGATGTCTTGTTGTTTCATCGGAATGGTTGATACAGGTATGGTAATTTATCGCTATACCTTGCGAAGATGTGTTTGTAGATATAGTCTTAACTTTTGCTGCCGGTAAGGCCGAGAATTGTACTCTTTCCGAAGTGAAGTATTACGAATAATCCTTGTGAATCGCCGCAACTAATTCTAATGTATTTTTTCTACGATTACGATTGTGTTGTCGATCTCCTTTAATAAAATGTGACGTTATTCTCGTATGGCATACAGTGTTAAGCGTAGCGTCGGTTTCCGGTGTATATACGTACTTGCAGTTAGAGTTCATTGCTAGTTGTATTTGATTATTTTTGTGCACCTAATAGACGCGCTGGAACACTGCAAAGGGCAGAAAGAGAAAATAAAGCACGATTGGCGATAGGTTAGGAAAGAGCACAGCTATCAGAACCAAGGTCGACTATCCGCAGAGACGAGGGAATGGGTCACTGTTTGTAATTTCAAGAACGCGCTCACCAGAACGTTGGAGGATTTTGTAATAGGTTCATTTCCGTGACTAAATTATTTTCTTCGCTCGGGTCATTTGTTGGGACTACTTGTGTGAAAAGGATCAGGCTACAGTAGACCAGATTAGACGAAATTATACGAACCATCACGGGTTGGCCAGAGGGGGTGGACTTCAGGAGTCGGGTAAGGTGTGGGCGTCTCACGCTGGTACAAGTTTTGTCTAATGCGATGTTAACCTTAGTCACAACATTTACTGGCGGGGGGGGGATAGTAGATGTCCAAAAGAACAAAGAAAAAGAATCATGGGAGAACGTTGCACTGTGCTCGAACTTGT